AGTTTTCACTGGGGTGCATTTCCTCACACAAACCATCGTTCTCTTTGTAAGACTCGGCCTTTGTTCCCTGTTGTTTTTACAAGCAATCCCGTGACTGTCCTGTTGTCAGTTAATATAATTACCAGTGAGATTTTCCATGAGACGTTTTTAATTGCATTACAAAGCCCCACTGTTTTCTTGTCCCCACACTTCAAATATTTGTTGACTGAGCTACATGAGAATCTACTGTATGTGTGATTCGTTTATTACTTGTTTTCATCACTTTAAGTCAACTTTTTTATAAAGACAGAGTGCAGGGCAAGCCCTTTTTTTCCCAAAGCCTTTCATCATCACAGGTTATTGTTTTATTTTGATTCTTTTGGGTGGGGGGTGGTTGCATGTTCAGAGGTTCCCTCTTTGCAGAAGTAATCAGTTTTCATAGTAAAACTTGTGAAGATGCTTGAGATACTGTGCTTGAGAAATGTTTGTGTATCATTTTCCGTGCTTACTGTGTCACCGCTTCCTTCTATTTTGCTTATCTCAGCCAAATGTATTCTAATGATACATCCGCACTCAACGCACACGCGAGACACTGATATTAATCTTCCTCCTCACTTTCCTTTGCGAAGCAGCGGAGGTTTCCGCATCACACAGCTCAGGTCTTTCGCAGGAAGCATCACTAATTGTATAAGTAGCTAATGAAATTCTTGCTTTTGTCGTTAAATTAATCTTAATTAGCTGCAGATATTAAACCCTTCTCCTCTCCTCAAATGAAAGCTGTCAGACAATGTCAAAAAGAAGAAAGACCACTTCATTACGTTATTACATATGAGCTGCGTAGGGGAACAGACTGCATATACTTAACTGCTATAAATCATTCTGAGAGCAGTGCCAGGAAGAATTCATTTCAAGGTCTCACTGCTTTGTTTGAAAGCTTCAACATTTGCTCCTCAAAGCTTCTGGCTGCACGACTGGGATGTCTTCGAGACTTGTTTAAAATCATCTCTGGAAAAGAATGGGATTACAAGTTAGCATGCAATGTATTTCACTTCCTTCATTAACAAGAAATTGAAACAAAAATGTGTTTTGCATTTTGTAGCTGAGAAAAAAGTAAGGTGTTTTGTGGCATTTGGTTGAGCTAACTTCAGTGAGCTGATTTTTTTTTTTTAGTATCAAGCAGTCTTTGGTACAAGTGTGAGAAATGGAGTCAAAAAATAAAAATAAAAGCTTGTCCCATTCCCTATATCTGAAGGGTTTTTTTTTAACGTACCGGTTGTTTGAAATCCCTGCAGAGTATTTCTACAAAATCATGAACCAGGCCTGCACCCCGACCTTACATTTTCTGATTGTTTTTATTCTCAAAAGGTGTCATGTTCAATGATCCAGTTCTGCTTCAACTTTGACCTTTTCGACAGATCTCACATTCCCCCCCATTAATTTCTGGCACAGTAGAAGTCATGGTGCATTCTCTGATTGAGAGCTGGCCAAGTCAAGTACCAAATATTAAACATCTGCTGGACAGATTGTAGGAGGGTTAAAGTTTATTTCAAACATTTCTTGTGGTCTGATGTCCAGATAGTTAAACTCATCTGTCTAAAGAAAGTTAGACAGATGAGCAAACTTACTCCAGGCTGCAAGTTTACTTAGAGACTCTCAAAGCTTGTTGAAAACAGCTTTTATTTTGATAAAACTGAATTATCTTCAAAAATTAAGAGATTCACCATTGAGTGGTATAAAAGTATATTTATATATTTTTAGCAAGTTTTCTCTCTCTTTTTCATTTTTGTTTGGGAATTTCCTTTTTTTAACCTGTTGACTTGCAGCTTCCAGCAGCCATGCGCTCAGAAACCCTCTATTAAAAGAACGGCGGAAACATTTTAAAGACTTCAATTTGCAGTGAGTTTAAAACTGTGTTTTTAAGAGAGCCACGCCTTCAAAACTACCCTCTGTGACCTCATTATGGCATCTTTTTGTATTTGCTCCTACATAATTGCTTTGCAAGCCAGCTTTGATTTTTTTCTAAATGGGACACAATGTGACTTTATTGCTTCGACTACAATATATTTGCATGAAGCGTGAGCAAGAGGCCTGAGGGCAGTTGTGTACTCTTCCAATGTTATGCAAATGTGGCTTGAGTAAAAGGTGAAAATTAGAGATTTTATGGAGAACGGGTCTACAGAGAAAATAAAAGCTGAATAAAATCAATTTTTCTCAGGGAAATGAAGAGGCTAAATTTAGATTAAAAAAACCGCAAGTCATAAACTTTTACAGTGCACTCAAATCTTTTAAGATGCCCTTGAAAGTATTTTTAAAACTAACTTTATGAATTAGGTTTTTGTTTTTTTCAGACCGTTGAGTACACAGCGTTGTTCTGACTTTGACATAATTCTCCACAGGCAGATTTTAAAGCTCTCTAGGATATTGCATTTGTGGTTTAGGGAATATCACGAGCCAGGTAATCTTGATTGTGTCTGACAGTCCCTTTACAGTGTCAACCTGCTATTTTTACCCAGCTCATTGAACATTAATGCCCTCGGGCAACCCAATCCCATTTTATCTCTTGCCCGCCCCAAACATTTTTAGTTATTAAAACATGCATTCAGGGTCATCAGCCCCCAGCTCAGGTATCCACCCTCATACTTGTGGGATTTTTTTCATATACACTCCTAAAGAGCTTGTCTCTAAAGAAGATGCTGTTATAAAGCTATAAGGTTCTAATATTTCCCAATTTTGATATATTTAAATTTTCTAACCATAAACTTCCCTTCTGCAAGAAAAAAAAAAAAAAGACTATCTGTCACCAGAAATTCATTTGATGACCCATGGAGTCGACCGGTCACAAGCTCAGAGTCCGAACTGCCTATTAAACCTCTGTGAAAAACATCCCTGTGCAGAGCGACGCGTCAGCCGGTCTGTTTTCACCGCTCAGCGGCTGACAGAGAACCTGACCTGAAGATGAATAATCCCTCAAACCTCTGCTGAATTTTTGAATGCTGCAGCCAAGTAGCATTATTATGGCAGAAGTCAGTCAGCACATGAAGATCGGGCGTAGCGCTCACGTTCACACCCCTCGAAGCCCAAAAGGGACATTTGCTCCCTCGCAGCATGACATTTATGATCATATCTGAAAAAAAGATTGATCGGAATGAAAGCAAAGGGAATGAGTTACAGTAAAATCTAAAGGTTACATCTTTCAGATGCTTTTATGTCATTTCTTTATCTGCTTTAAAGAAGTGAAATTGCTTTTTCTGCATTCTAAAAATGTAGTCTGACTTTAAAATCCATTTCATTTAAAGGGGCAGTGAAAAGTTGCATTGCCTTACAGATTTATTCTGCTTTTGCCTTTTTGTCAAGAAAAAATTATTGTTTTAGAAGATAACCACAAAAAATTTGAAATGCTATTTTTAAATTATATTTCATTTATATTTGAAATCAGTTATTTGTTAAATCACAATCTGTTATTAACATGTTTTTGAAGAGCTAAGTACAATTCCCCACATGTCACTTGCGTACGCATGTCTGATATGAATATTTTTAGTGATCTGAAATGTTCAAGTGTGACTGAAGAAAATTGCAAGGGGAAATTACATTTCAGGCCCTAATTAGCTACTCATTCTCAACATACCAGCTGCAAGAATTTACAGATTTATAACTGAGGTTTTATTTGAAAAAAGTTGTTCTCTTTATTTAACTTTAAATTACTTCTGTCCATGCCTTTGAGCTCCACATTGTCCTCTTCCATTCCTTTTATTTAATGCATGTCCTGAGCTATGATCCAGCAAGTCTGCTTGAAAAATTGAATTTTCCTCATCATTTGTCACTTCCTTCATCACAGCTCCTTCCAATATTCCAGCTGCTCTATCAAGTGGTGTGTAGCATTTTTATTTCCTGCCAGAAAATAAATAAAACCCAAGCTTATTATTTGACCTTGGTCCTTTTTTTTCTCATTTAACAGTGTAGATATTTTGGGAATATGTTGACAGTAATTGAGGCTAATGTGATGTGGAAATACATGTTTAATGTAGGTCATTTTAGAATAAATCAGCGTTAAATGTACAATTTAACAGCAAAGTTGAGGCACAGAGTGGTACACTGCCCTGAGAGTAAACGTGTGAAAAATCACAGCTTTTGCAAATACCTCTAATGACATCTCTTCTTATTAATATCAAAAGCAGAAAAAGGTCACAGTGACACGAAGAGTGGAAAATTCCATTTAGAGACTTAAACAAATGTAGATGTGTAAAAACACAGGCACACACAAAAAATTCCAGTACCATATGTATTTTATGGAGAACATGAGCACAGAGAAAATTAAAACTGAATTAAATAATTTTTCCTCTGGGAAATGAAGAAAGTACAGATTAAATATAGATAAAAATATACACCTTTAGAAATCTGTTTAAAATGACAGAATCAGAAAAAAAAAAAAACTTTATTTGATTAATGTTGCAAATCTTTGTTTTTAGTTGAATCACCAGCAGCTGGACTGGTTGAGGACCCACGCCCACCTTGCCACCCAATCGTGTGGGTGCATTTCCAAAGTTCCTGGGGGAACATTGCTAGATTTCTTGGCATCGTGAAATTTTATATGCCAGAACATTTTAAATGAAATCGTGTGTTTCAAAAAAATAAAAAATTGAAAGCTTACAACCAAGAAAACACAAATGATTAACTGTGTCACAAACTATCTCATTCCAGAAACCCTCCGTTTTAAGAAACCTGAAAAGACGAGAGCAGATAAAAAGACCGAATGGTTTAATGATACATCTCTCCAAATGTTCCTGCCTTTATATGAGCTGTCCGATTAACGAAGATGTTTTTCTGCATTATTCATTGGGAGATGATGCTGCTGCAAATGAACATAATTTTTTTCAAGACTTTTTACACATCTTTATCAAATTTGTCTTCTGGTGTATGTTACATTTCTGAGCTAGATGCTAAAATATTGCTCAAACAGAAAACAAGTCACTTCAACCCTTATTGATAATCTCTTGTTTGTTTTTGTCTTGCTCTCTGTGCAGATAACGTCTACAGGAAATGTCTTGAAAATGGGACGTGGGCACTGAAGGGGAACTACTCCATGTGTAAGGCCATACTTGAGGAGGAGGTAAGACTTGACAGTGTGCTGTTTGTATGCATGTCTCCTGATTAATGGGGCCTTTTGGAGTTTGTCTTCAAAGCAGGGGCCCTGCACTTTAATCAGAAAAATGATAATAACAACAAAGGCAAGGTTGGCTTCAGGCGTATTTATAGTAAATATGGACTCAGGGTTTGGTTTCTCAAAGATTGCATCCTCAGAGACGCTCAAGGGGGGGAAAAAAGTCTAAAAATAAAGGCATTGACTGTGCATCGCCCATGAGCATCACTGGGAGGAATCTGCTTCAAAGCACAGTGAGTGAATTTGAATGTGCATTGTAGGACGACTTTAGAGTCATCTTGCCTTGGTTGCACGACTTGTTTCACGGGTGAGTGTGAGCTCCTACCCCTTTTGATCAACATTTCTCCTTTTTAAAACAAAAATGTTTCTTGTCTACATTCCATAAAATGAACACCAGGAGTGATCATTTCTCTCCCAAGCGTTTTCCCGAGAGAGCCGCATGAATTCTGCTGCTCTGATCCTGCTATGCTCCAGATTTTTATCCATGCACATGTTGCTGTTATGTATTTGCATAATTTTTTTTTTGTCCTCCACCTGGATGGCTCATTGTTATTACGTGATGAGCGCTTATTTTAATTAGGACACAGCTACAGACTGAACACTCTGACCCAAATCAGGCCGTGACAATTAGACATCTGACGGATTTGCGCTGTATGTAAGATACAGAATTACACGATGGAGAGATGTGACTCGGTGCGCTTGCTTTTCTCCGCCCGACCATCTGTTGAATCCAAATTTTGCACATGCAAGCTGTGCAAATAGCGTAAGTTTATTCCTACATAAGACAATCTTAAGTGTTGCATCAAGTGAAAGCGGTGGGTGCTTCCCTAAAAGCAAACAGACCTGACAACCATGAGCCACTATTTATAAATTTTCTGTAATCCAGAAAAGGATGTAAAACCTTTAACAGGTGCAAACTTTAAGCATTTCTTTCTTGTCTTTTTGCTTTTTCCCTCAGAGGTTGCCACAGTAAATCATCTGTCTCCATCTTATCATATCTTCTGCTTCTTCTACCTCCACACCAACTAACTTCATGTCCTCGTTCCTCAAATCCATAAATATTGTTTTTGGTTTTCCTCTTCACCTACTGTTCCGTGTCTCCAACTCAGCATCCCTCTACTAAAATAGTCATCATTTCGTCTCTGAACATACCCAAACCATCTCAGTCTGGTCTGATGTTAACTCCAAAACATTTAACATGACTTGATGCGCGATGTGTTCATTCCTGATCCTATCCATGTTTGTCTCTCCCAGAGAATCACAACATCTTGGGCTCTGCAACTTCCAGTGTTAATCTTATGGTGTGCCTCTTATGTGAATTCTTCCAGAAGTTTCACTCGTTGGTTATGTGTCCAGTCGGGCATAATAAGTCAGTACATTGTTTGAATCACTCATCTATCAGACCTATTTAGAAATGGACAAAATATCAGCCTGTCCTTTGGCTGTGCACAAGTTAAGCTAAAACTGGAAGTGAAGGATTTTCACACACAGGAAACTACAGATTCTTCTTATGACGAGAAGATGTGGTCCAAGCAGGATGAAGAGTCATTCTTCCGTCGACTATTATCAAGAATCAAAACTGATCACAAGATGTTCTACTCTAAAAGTTCAGTTCAACTTTGAGCACACTCAGAAAACATGATAAATATTAGCTATAATCCGTCTTGGGAACACTGAGGCGTTCCAAGGCGGGAGCCGGGAGATCTGCCCTGAGAGAAGAAAGGCCCTGCTTTTTCTTCTTGCAACAGAGAGGAGAGGAGAGAAAAAAAAGGAACATTTTAGAATTAAAGGCAGGAAGTAGGTGGAACAAAATTACTTTATTAAATTAACTGGAAACAAAAGGAGCTGCCTTAGCAGTAAATCCAGAAAAAAAAAGAAACAGAGCTACGTGGGGGATGAAACAAATCATTGCAGAATAGGATGACTGAAATGAGATGAGCATCTGACTAAATAGGCTGAGAGATTCAAAGACTAACAATGGACAGGTGGGCTGATTAGCAGCAGACCATCTGTGCCGACATCAGAACGTAAGAAAGTAAATATAAACGTGCAAAAAAAAAAGAAAGTAAACAGGGGAACAGAATCTAATCAAAAAGATAAAATAATATAACATCGAGGGACAGTGAGAAGTATTTTCTCTGCAGCCGTACTTCAAAAACTGAGCAAAATAACAGGACCGAACTTAAAATTGCTTCAGTCTCATCTCCACTTATCTCAGAAATTACTGTCACGTTTGTTTGGCTTTAACAACTCACCATTCACCATCCTAAATTCCCTTCGGATGGTTTTTTCCCTTCAGGAAAAGCGACTTTAATGAGTACAATGCTGCTCTTGTCACTATCACCATAGAAAATCAGACATCTTCTGCGGTTCAGAGGTCGGATGAAAAGGAGATTGTTCTCCAGTTCTCATCTGATTTAAGATATTCCTTTGGGAAAGTTGCTGTGTGGCACAGTCATCCAAAGAGTATTGATCAAATGTTGATTTAATGGCGCTTTCCCAACACATGAATTGTGAGCGCTTTAACCTCACAGCTACCTCTGTGACCATAAATCAATGATGAATTAACAGCTTCTGGTTGCAGGAGCAGGGCTGTGGAGGTGCGCCGGATGTGACTCTAATTCAAAGAGAAACCTCACCGTAGTAGTTTATGGTTTTCCTGCAGATTCAAAGCTCTAAAACTAGCAACATTGGCAAAAATACAAGATTACTGCTCTTGGTTGATGTTCGGTCAGTCTTTTTCTTTTGAAGCTGGAAATAATCTTAGAAATTACAGCTATCTACTGAAGTTTGGCTGCGACTTTGAGGAGAAAAATTCAGGAGCTAAAAAGCACCAGAGTTAGCACTTTGCTGCATTTTCCTCGGCTCCTCTGATAGCTTGAATTCTTCGAGGCACGAACTACAGCAAAGCAAAATAATATTCCTAATTATTCCCATCATAATCTAATCATGTAGTAGATGGCAGCTCAGCTTGGTGCGATGTCGTGCAACGTTTGTTCTCACCCAAAATATTAACAGCAAACCTGGTTTTACAAATCAAAGCACCACAGTGACATACAACTGTGGATATGTGGTTGTTTGTGAAAAACTTTTATTAGTATACTCAAAAAGAAAAGATTGAGATTTGTTTCATTTTTCAGAAATGTCTTTGAATCCTTTAGGGTTTATTTTGGCTGCTGATAGAAAGATTTTTTGCAGCCCTGAAGTCTGGATGCTGACATGCCCACTTCACAACCTTTATGTAATTATTCTCTGGTAGCTGCTTTGTTGGCTTAGCGATGTACCTTAAGTAATGCAAATTTAACTCAGAAAATACTTTAGTTATCCTAAAGGGAAATTAACAGTTGTTTTAACTCACATTCACAGTGATCTTCCTAATTGCTGTGCGGTAGCAGTTAGTCTTGCAGCAAATCTGAGGAGGCCTCTGACTGAAGACTGTTGCTGGTTGATGGTGTCATGACTCAGTTTTCATGAGCAGCAACAACTTTCTAAAAACATGTCCTTAACGACTCCCTCAGTTGGTGGCAAGCACTGCTAATCCACCTCCTTTGCTTTTTCACTCCTCTTTAAATCTCTGGCCGTGTGGTTAGAAAATCTAGCAGAGAGATGATGGAGATGGGGATATGATCAGTGGAAGAGATAGTATGAACTTCCTTCTTCCAATGATGGTTTGAGTTGAAGCATAATGGCCTGATTTATGACTAATGCAATCACAGCTCTTTCTCCAAAGCCATTAAAACATAATTTTCTTATCAACAAAATCAGTTTGTTTCTGAAGTACCATTGTACTTGTTCAGGTACTGTGGGCTTTTTAAAAATAATTTATCTGTTTTGGTAAACGATGGGAGTGCAAGTTATGATTTTTTCCCCCCCTACATGTAATATTTTTAGGCTTTATACAGAGCTGTGCAATAGTCAAATCATAATCTTGCAAAATCAGTATATAGTAATATAGGGTGTTTTGGCTGGCTTAGAGGCAAAAGTAAAAATTTTGAGACCCTGAAGGTCAGTCATAATCAATATTCCCCAAGTAGCATTTAGCAATATTACTGTAACTCTGTGCTGCACTATTCTTGTGTGTGTAAAATGACAAAGTTTGCCCTTTGTGATCTGCAAGAACTGTACCACAGTTAGATGTGTGCAGTATGGTTTGAAAAGCCTAAATATTAAGCTGTTAAATAGATATTTTTATCCATCCTCTAAGAGACAGGACTTTATATTTCCTGTCAGAGGTTGTATGCATCAGTGGAATGAGTATCTGCTGGTTTATTGACAGTAAGAAGCGTATAAAATATCACCTCCTTTGATATTTTTATCCTCTCACTGCAGGCATGTCCTTTGGTTGCAGCCATCAAACATCTGTTGAGATGCAGAAACGCTGCTCCGACTGAAACCTGTCAGTTAGGGCTGTTTTTAAAAAGAGAAAAGAAAAAACAAAGTTAGACTCTGATGTTCAATCGATCCAGACAGAAGATGGATATAGAGTGTCTGACCTTTGAAAATTGTTTGTTTTCTTCCTGCTTTTGTAGCCGTGAAATAAATCACCAGCTGCCAGCCGCAGAGTGACTGACACGGGGGGGGGATGGAGCTTCTCTGTGAAGGTGTTTGAGTCTGCATTTTTAAATGGCTGAATGTCAGGGGCATCGTAGATCTGAACAAAAAGAACCAAAACCAGTCAAAGGACGACACGCCGGTGTTGACTTTGATCCTTCGTTTTATTAGTGAAGGAAGAAGTTGGTTCTGCGTGTGGCAGAAAATCTCAGCTACACTCTGAACCTTTGATAGTGTTGTCAATCGTTCCACATGAACAACTAAAGCAATACCAACTCAGCATTAAGCCGACTGCTGCAGCAATATGTAGAGGAAGCAAATATTCAAAGGTCCTTCTAGGCAGACAGAATGAGTGGATCAAACGCTTATTAGGAAGTTTGTTTGAGAAATAGATAAAACCATTATTCCCTGTTTGGGTGCTGCCTGCGGTTGTTTTCTCAGTGTCTTTGTGGGAGACAGAAAGTGTGTCAGGTTTAGTTTTGCCTCTTGTGGCCCACATACTTTGAGCCCTAAGGCTGGTGGTGAGAGGGTCTTATATTATCCTCCTGTAGTCCCATTCCTCCTTTTTTCTCAAGCCCATCCCTAGTCTCTGCATTTTAAAGCCCCTTGTGTTCTTGTGTTATGTCCTTGTATGGCCAATTTTGTCCAAAAAACCCCCCAAAAAATTTAAAAACATTGGTTTGTAACTATTTTAACATTCTTTCTGGGTCTTTGAATGTCACCATCTGGTGTTTAGATGCAACTGGGGGAAAAAATCCTCCATGAATCCCATTTGGAGGGTCATCCATAAATGTTATTCAGTGTTCTGAAAATGCCCATTTGCATTACATGTTTGTAATCTGATGACATCAAAACATCTGCTTTCAGGCAAAAAAAAAGGCTGAATTCTGAGAAACCTCGCTGACTCTAAATTTACCACAGAGAGGTTCAAGCGGGTGCAAGGAATTTAAATTTAAATGGATGAAGTGCTGTGGCTATGTACTGGATTTCTGTCAGTGGAAAATCAAACCAGTTCTTTGGTGGTTTTCCATTGAACCGAGATGCAAACTGCCACTGAAGCTTAACAAGCACTGGAAATATAGCAGCCATGGGTCAAAATGGAGGATTACACATTTCTGAAAGCAAAAACTGATTATCACTCGGAACTGCGCATGCAACATGAGTTTTGGATTAAAATATATTTGAAATTGATTCAAAACTATCATTTGTTGTTCTTTCATCTCAAAAAGGATTTCTCTGCCTTTATCAGAAAACCAACCATGTTCACAATGACTGTGATCCGTCTCTGACCCCGATAGTATTATAATCCAATGATACATTCAAGAAGACCTTCATTTCCACATCTCTTCCTGCACTGATTATCAAAGCCTCCAGCAGATATCAGGGATAATTTGGAGTCAGAAAGAAAAGAGCTGTTGACATCTTGCTCTGTGTCGACAGCGCACTTATTAAGAGTCGCAAATTTGAGCTGGGGAACCAAAGCACAGTGAAACAGATGACTTGCTTCATAGTGGATGGGGTAGGGATTAAACATGCTCGCATTTAATCTCAGGATAGACACCAGCAGGTTACGTAAATTCTTCCACAGCACAGATTAATGCTGGTAGTGTTGGGCCAAATCCGATCACAATGGATATCTAAGTCACGGAGAGTAGTCTAAGACTCCACTTTACATGGAGATGAGTTTATTTAGTCTGAACTCTTAGAAATTGGTCTCAGATGAAATTAGCAGAGGAGAAGCTGGAAGGCTTCTGATTTTAATTATGAAACTTGAAATCACCAATCATGTATTGGTGATTGGGCCTATCATCTGTTGGCTCTTACTAAAATCTGCGTCTGAGATGAGTGTTGGCCTTCTCTGTTGCAACATTTTCTTCTCTCAGAACCAAACAAGTGACAAATGAAAAATTCAGCTGAAAAAAAATAAATGAATAAAAGCAGGTATGCAAAGACGCAACGGACCTAAGACTTCAAATAGTAATCACAGTTTAGTCGTAAACACAAAGTACTGCATCATGACAACTCAACTTATAGGAATCCCAGCGAATCCAGCCAAAAAGGATGATAGAACTGTAAATACAACATATCAGAAAAGCTTGTGAAATGAAAATTGCAACAATTTAAAAAAGGATGTCAAATTGTAAAAATTGTGCTATATTTTTCAGCCAACAGAATTCAGCATTTTGAAGAACAAGTTTTTTATAAGTTTCTCCTCAGAATTCACTTTTCTTTTTTTCCATTCCAAAATCTTTTTTTCAGTTTCCATAGCTGCTTCTAATTCTTCTATTTTTCCCTTTCACAATGTTTTTTAAATGTCTCCTTTCTATGTATATAAAAATGCTGCATTTTATGAAAAGAAAATCCTACCAACAACAAAAAGCCAAAATAAAAAGCTCACATTCAGAAAACACTTCATTATTGTCACAACTTGCTAAATACTTCTCATGTCTTAGCATTTTTGCTTTGTTAAATGTAATAGAAATACCTAACGAACAACAAAAATTTGAAACTGATTACTACATCTGAAAATGATCATGTGGTGAGGTGCAATTTGACCAAAGTCAGACAACAGACAGAAAAATTCTTAAAAATAAGCTGCAAAGAAACATGACTGCAAGATGATGACAAAACAAATATGGCTGTTTATGTCAGTGGGTATTCATTTTTGAAGCTTCATCTAATAATAATGTCCGATTCTAATTAAAATGTGAGTACTGGCACTCCTGCTGTGCACTCATGTTCAAAACCTCCACAGGAGGGAGAATTCAAAAACTGAGAAATAGGGATGACTTTTTTTTTTAAATGCAAATGCTGCCAATCGTAAAAATGAAGAAAAAAAACCCTCATATTTCTCTTCGTCCTGCAGAAAAAAGGCAAGATGCATTACCAGATCGCTGTCATCATAAACTTCCTGGGTCATTGCATCTCCATGGTGGCTCTGCTCATCGCCTTCTTCCTCTTCTTGTGCTTGAGGTAAGTGTTGGTGCTGATAATCCTAAAGACAACCCTGATGTCGCAGAAGCGCCAGGATCCTCCTCATCCTGGGAGGTTCAAAGACTCTTTCGTTCTTATTCAAAACCCATTTGGCCATGGGATGAAACCTTCACTATCTCAATCCAGCAGATGTAAAGGGTTTAGACACCCGCAAAAACTGGGGCACACTTTCCAACAAATGGGAGTAATAGACCCATCCAGAGAAAGGGTGAAAATCAAAACAGTCTTCTTGATGCCTGCTGGGATGAGGTGGGAAGGGATTCTTCTAACGGAAATAAGACGTGTGTTAACGAGAGAAAGGTCTTAGCACCCTCAATAGCCGGGGTGTTATCGATCCCTGGAAGAGCACTGGAGAGTGAGAAAAGCGTGAAAGGGCACAAAGAGGCATAATAAGTAGAAGCTCTGCAGGACCGCATTGATGCGTGCCGTGTTTTTGTTGACCAGTGAGGGAGGACAAGCGTCGGCCTGCTAAAAATGGCATTAAGCTGCAGAAGTAGTTGGCATTTATTACTCACCCTCTTGACTTCGTAATGAAACCAAGAACAATTTAAGGGAAGGCTGTCACTTGGCGGTGTGATGGGGAGAAAGCTTTGACACTCGGGCGCAGTGCTGTGGAACGAGAAGGAGAGAAAAAGGAGCAGGGCAAAGAGCGGGGTGCACATTTCATTTAAAATGGCAGGTAGAGCATTTTCAGCCAGCATCGCGTGACATTTCTCTGTGTGGAATCCAACTGTAAATGACCAGTTTTATGGCGATCTTTCAGCAGTATGCTGTATGTGCCTCCAGAAACACACTGCTCTCCTGGATAACAATGCAGCCCATTATGATGAGGCTTCAAAAAAATGTTCGATGTTCCTGGGAAGCCAATTTTGGTCAGATGTATTCAGGTGGAAATGATCTGCATTTATATTGCTTTTTTTTTTACAATTCTCCCCTCTCATCTGAACGTGACTCAGCCAAATTATGGCAAGCAATTTAGGATTTAATGTTCTCTTTCCTGAAAGTACAAAAAAGGTTTGACACTCATTTCAATAAACGGCTGATTTCAGGAGAACAACCAATTCTCTGTCCCGAGGGTTGTTCAACCCAGTCTGACCGATTTAAAGGGAACACATACCTCCTGTTTGTGAGAATGTGCAATCGAAATAGATGATTGCATACACTGAAAACATTTTTCTGCCACTCTTTGACATTAAATTTGACATTAAATCAGCATAAGACCTTCTTGTCTAGCCCAATTAATATCACCAAAAATAATTCCTAACATGCCAGAAGAATGTGTGATACTGTTTATTGCTGTTTTGAAATTCGGATGTTCAAACAAAGGATTATGACGTTTTAAGAGAACCACAAAGTCCAGGCTGAATTTGCAAAAGCTCATCATATATCACATTCTTGAAAATGTGACTATGCCAAAAATGTATCTCAATTTGTATGTCTTTCTTATGTTTGTGACTTTTTTTTTTGTTGTTGACAAATTTATCCTGCAGAGTTAATATTTTAAAAGTGCATTCCTTGAATGGTACTTCATGTCTCATTAATTCTAAACTAAAACTATAGTTTTAACTATATGTAGCAGATGCTTGTATTTGTGGGGTTTTTTTTGTTTTTTTAATAGATTAGGTTTGTTATCTTTCAGATCACTTATGTTCGGTTTTGACTAATTAATCTCAGTCTGTTTTTGACCGTAGGTTTTGAGACATTTTGCAATAAGATCTTGAAAACAACAGGCCTTATATTGATACAGCAGTTATTATATGCCAGCAACCTCTAAATTTTTTAGATTCAAATGTTTGTTTCTGCCAGTTTGTTGCTTTAACCCTCTCCAGGCAAGTGTTGCAGATTTGCAACAGTCTTTTCAAGTAATTTGAGCCTGAGAGGGTTAAAGTTCTCATGTTGCCCTCATTGAAGGGGAGTTCCTACAGCTTGAAACTTAATGTGTTATTAAACACAATTAAGCAGCCCTCGCCTAAACCTGCCCTAATAGTGAAGGAGAACCGATCCAATTCAAACCAAGGTGGGTAAAACCTAAATGACTTCTGAAGTCCTTTGTTCACCAACCCACATTTAGTCCGTGTGAGTTCTCTCTGACAGCTGATCGACTCAAGAAACACAAATTAAAAGAAGTGAGAGCTTCGAGATAAGATCTTTCAGAGGTTTCAAGGAACATGAACGACATTCCTTATCTCTGGCAGCTGGGAACCAATTTGTTTTGAAAAACTTTAAACTCTATCATTGGTTGGCAAAGAACAGCCTGCAGAATCCTTTTTATTATTGGGGGTAAAGATCTGAGAGTCTCAGAAAATTACTACTGGCAGCTGTTTCCTTCCAGCCAGAGCTCGGGATTTCATTTCGCTGGCCTGTGCTGAGCTCCTTGTGGATATTTCCACTTATTGTGTGTTTGGATTATTAACGAGGGATTTGCTTATCTTTTATTACCTGCTATGTGATTCGTTTGCTGATAGCCTATCCTATCCAGTTCTTTACGTCTGAAGTTCTGTATTGACCTTATCCAGCTTATTGCTGTTTTCTACAAACCTTTTTTTTTTTTTTTTTTTTGCCAGGCCTTGAAAATTTTAAAAACTGCAGAACAAAAACAAAACAAACTGCCTTTTGGCCATTTTTAGAACACTCTAAGAACGTTTTACATCCTAAACCTGGAAAGTATGATTAAAACTGACTCTAGAAGAGATTTAATTAACACTTACAAGCATTTGTGCTTTCTCGCTGACAAGATAAGCCTCCCAAACTATTCACTCTAACTGAATAGAAAATGTTAAGCACTTTTGTGTGACATGGAGGTGAAGAGACGTTAACTGTTCTGATTAAGATCACATGGCGTGATCTGCAGCTTTGCAGACTATTATGTATTTGAAGGCTATCATGTAGATTTTACATTAATAATAGCGTTACTTAGTGTTCATTAAACATTGATCCCACAAAGAATGTGTTGTGCACTCAAAGTTTGTTTTACCATTTGAAACTTTGCTTTTTACCAATTAATACTACCAAAATGAAAGTATTTTGTTGAAATTATTTACAAACTTGAAAATGTTTTCACTGAATTACAAGGAAGCTCTATACCGAATTGGAGATTTCAGGGTTTTATATCAAAATGTTCTAGATGATGTGAAGTGCCTCTCTAACAACGCAAAAGTGAGCGACTATGAGACCTCACATGAATTTGAGTGATATCTATTGAACTGTGTGTTGTTCCACTATATACATGTCAGTGGTTTAAGTCTACTTCCTCTCTCATCTAAAATTAATGGCACTCTGCTTGCTGTTGGACTTCAGCTTTACTGACATGCTTTTATAGTCACTGTGCTCTACATCTTCCACATGTGTTTTGTTCTTCTAACAGAAAGAATGTGTTTTCTCACTTTGTGTTAAATATTCCGGATGGATGAACAAAGGTCTAGCTGTTAGTAGCCCAGCCACTGAAATGTTGTGTTTACCAACACTTAGCTATGAATCGTTGCCCACCCACTCATCACAAAGTGACAAAAGGGCAATTGGGTTGTATGTAATTAGATATGAATTTGCGTTTCACATAAAACCACACAAAAAGACTGTTCGTCATAAATTTGCTGCAAAAAAGTAGACTTTATGTAAAATAACCCAATATAGTCTGGGCACTTAACAGCAGCGTAGATTCCCTGCCAGTTAAGTAGTTAACAATATTTTTCTTACCTTTTGAAAGGTTGCTGGTATCTTTAAACAAACACTCTCAAAAGCCTACCTACCATCTTATGATTTAGCAAAGCTTTCTGTTGAATAGCAAATAAGATGAATAATTGATCTGTCAACCCTTCTTAGCTCATTCTTAGGGTAGTACTGATAAAATAAATTACTTAGTGTCAGAAGGATGCTGCTTAATATGCTTATTAACTCCAAAACAGAAGGAAATAACTTTATGCAAATGCTAGTTGAACCTGGTATGATGGTGTAATTTTATTTATGCGCAGTGTGTATAAACATCTGGTTTTTACTGTGCGTACACACACACGCACGAACACGCACACACACACACTTATGTGTGTATCTATAATACTTGACAAATTGCAGATAGTCAAATATATATATATATATATATATATATATATATATATATATGTTTAAAATGTTTTGCAACATGTAATCACTTGTTATTTACAGTGAATCCTCAAGCTGACATTAGTGGATCTTCACTCTGAAGGCCGTCACTGAGGACTGATGTATGCTCTCTGTGTAAAAGCTTACTATGCAATACCACAGGTTCATTGCAAACAAGCCCATGCAGGACTTTCGGATCATCAGGAACGCGTCTGTTTGCAGTGCCCATCTTTGATACTTAGACAGCAGAAGAATCGATACTATCTTCCAGTTAGCGAAAGGTTGTGCACAGATTACTTTTAAGAGACGGTAGAAGTGACTTTAATTATCTCAGTTCTCTGTGTGATAATGTCTGAGTATTTGAACATCCTCTGAATAAATTTCAACTTTTCATTTAATTACTAGTTTGAGCAAACATATTTTGAAAATATTGTTTGAGTCTTTTCATAAGTGTGAAGGGGTTTAGTGAAATATAACCATCTAAATCTACTTGTAGCAAAGAATACTCTTGAATAAATAAAACTCAGGTCCAGTCCATACAACTTAAGAAGTGGGAAGATACCTTTTACAGCTGCATCATGAAATGTCAGCTTACCCTTTTAACTGCAGCTTAAAAAACATTAATTGCTTCTATAAATGGGGCAAGAGTGCTCTGAAAATGATCTCATCTGAAGACTTTTAAAATCTGCTTGGCACATTTCCTTCTATGTACTATTTAGAGTGCTGACACTGCACATAAATCATCCATGATGAAATGCCCTAAATATTTCCCTTTTTTCACTATATTTGAGATGCACTTTGTGAAATGATGAAAAATTCAGCTTCTCGATCTTCTTCAGTTGTGTAAATAATAAAAACATTTCATGCAGGATTAAGCCCCAGTTAACATGGTAATGCAGTTGTCAGGTTGGGTGGGTGCAAAGTATGTATGGACTCCAAATGTGCTTTGCATTTTGGACTGATGGAATACAACCCATTTGGACTCATCCAAAAAGAGTCTGCTGTAGCTCTGGAAAGGATAACGAGTAAACAATTTCAATATTTAAAAAGTAAGTGATCACTTTTTACAAGGAATTACAAGTGTTCCTTGTAACGATTATGTCCTACAGCTAATAAAACACCAAATTTCACTGTCTCTGATAAACCGACTAAAGAAGAATTTCTGATGCAGAAATGTTAGCCTACATTTTCATGGACCACATGATCCACCGATCAGGTGTGCTGAAATCCAGTCTTAAAGAGATACCAACCTGTAGTTCACAGAGGCATCCTAAGTTAGAAAAGCTTGTTACCAGGTCTGCAGAGCAGGAATTCAGCCATTTGATGAAGATATGTTGGAGAGGGAGTGCATCTAAAAGTTTTGGAATAGCAGCTTTCTAGAACTGGACTTGGGATGCTTTATATCCTGCACTGTATTCACTGCAAGGATTTAAATGTGTATATCCAAAGAAACAAGACTGTCAAATAGCCTTCAAGTCACTCCAAGGATATTGATCTGCAGGATATCACCAACCGAAGGAAAACAGCTGCTATTTAGAACTGATTTAGCCTCCACTATAATAAATAATATGTTTAATTACTTTAATATAGACATGGTAAGTGCAGTCTTGCGCTACGGAAAGCGGTGTGACTGCTGCTTAATAAGATCAACTAGAACAATTAATGCACAATACAGTGTATCATTAAGATTTGTATGCAGAAGGATTCAGCTTTTCCCTGTAATTAACACCCAGCAGGCCCCACTGGCACATCAGCACAGGAAGTGAGGTCATGCATCATAATTAATACGACCTTTTGAATAAAAAGCCCACATAGTTTTGGCACGGCAGCCTCGCTAATCCTTAGAGCAGAACCAGAGAGAAATAAGTCACCCAATTGTCAAATAACACAATTAATGGAGCTATAAATGTGTTTATTTTTAGCCTCCTAAACTTTCATGTTACCAAATTCGCTTTGAAGCACTTTTTTTGGGAACTGTGAGGAGTCTATTTTCTTGCTTGCTTAATATAAACAATAGTCCATCTAACTGGAAAATTTCTGGCCATGCTCACCGACACAGTCAGCACAAAGCCTGTGCAAGTGACACCTATTAAAAATGTATGTGTGCTAAAAAATAAATCATGTCGCCCACTCTCAGCCTAAGAGAGCGCGGCCTTGACTGGATGATAATGCTGTCAGCTGGTGACGACAAATGAGGCTGTCACTACAATGTCTGAGGTTGGCTTGTTCTGTCCATTCAGCTGTGTGTTTCTATTTCTGAGCACTCGCTTGGAGGCACTTAGGCAGATTCCTTAATTGTATCCCAGGGTCGGTTTATTTACATCATTAAAGAAACATGGCACTTTAGGCACATGACACAACAGTGAAGACAACAGGATTTAAATGTTACTTCACATTTTGGTATGCTGTCCAGAGCATGCCAAAAATTCTCTTCAAATTTTCAGTTATTTTTATAAATCCACAAAATTTTATTGACTTGGTAAGTGATTCAGTTGCTGAAGTCTGGTTAGCAGGTTAAATTCTGCTTTGCATATGGTCCTGACTCTGCTTGTCTTCGAACAGAAGTCTATTGTTAAACATGAAAATGTTAATGTCTGAGGAGCTGAATTTATTCTCTTGCATTCTTCTTCAGGAGTATCCGATGTCTAAGAAACATCATCCACTGGAACCTAATCACTGCCTTCATCTTGAGAAACGCCACCTGGTTCGTCGTCCAGCTGACCATGAGCTCAGAGGTGCACGAAAGTAACGTGGTGAGTGGAGGTTAACTTAAACATTAAGTTGCTCTCTGAAACTCAAAATCTCTTCTCGTTTCTGTATTTTATTTAACCTTTCACCTTGACGACAAGGAAAAATTATGGGATTTTTTTTTTAAGAATCTAGACTTTAAAAATCAAAGAACAAAACAAAAAAAGATGCCCGAAGTCTGACGTCCTGTCTAAAAGTTTGATGCAGAGAGAATGTTGTCCTAAGTAAAAGAGCAAGAAAATCCAACCCTTTACTGTCACCAAAAAGTCACCCAATTTAAAAAAAATGTCTACTCCACTTAATTTGGAACTAGTTGAAACAACAGATCAACCCGCATTTTCAGACTGAAGGTTTTTGCTTACATCTCTATAACTAAATAAATGAATATGAACAAGAAAACCTATGTCTTGAATTACAATACTTTGTTAAAAATACAAATAAAGTCCTCTCCCGACTTATTTCCTTGTTACATTTTTTTCATCATTATTATTTTCTCAGCTTTGGTGTCGACTTGTCACTGCCTCATTCAACTATTTCCACTCCACCAACTTTTTTTGGATGTTTGGAGAAGGCTGCTACCTTCACACTGCGATCGTCCTCACATACTCCACTGACAAGCTCCGCAAGTGGATGTTCATCTGCATCGGCTGGTGTATGTACATCTTCATGTGTGAAACGGTCAATCAAATCTAGTTTTTGAAAGCTTTGAGAATTGTCAACCGGTATTTTGAGAAATACGTTCAAAAATGTTCTTGCAGGAAATTAAACAGAGAAGGTTGTGACAGCCAACAATATATCTAATTGCACAATTAACAAAATGCTATTACCTTGTTTGCTTAAAAACCGTATTGCATTATAGGTAAGTTGTTAAATTACTGATTTTACTGCATTCAAAATGTCCAAGATGATTGCATTATCAGGAGATGTTATAGTTATTATAATACAATTATTCATCTAATTATTCATGACTTAAAAGTCACTCATTGAACACTAAAGCTACTTTTTTTTTCTGCAGTTTCTTTATTGAGAGAAATTGCGCATCTTGTCAAAAGTTTTAGATGCTCCAGTTTTTATCCAGCCACTCTGTGTTCATTTAATCTCAAAAGACGTAACTGGGGGTCAGATGAAATTTTGCCAACAATAGGAGAGTTAAATGGATGGAGACACTGGGATTTTGTGTGGCAGCTGGGAAATGTATCGTGAAGAATTCACAAGCTCCCCCATTTCAAACTGTCAAATCAGCGTCTATACTGCTAAGATTAGGTGCATTGTGTGTTGGCTGAATTTCATTTGCTGCAGGAAACTTTGGCGTGATGAGATGATGGCAGTGCATTCCAGTGCTGCTGTGAAAACAATAAATAAAATGTACTTCTTTCCAGCCTTGAGTAACTTTCTGGCTTCGAGAGTCCTTGTTTTGTCACAAAAATTATGTTAATTTGCTTAGGAGAACCTTTCTTGGTAAATCCTATTGAGGTTTAGCATTTCACTGCTGAGGTAAGTGACTAATGAGGCAGAAAGTTTCTTGAGATTAGGAAACTTGAGACTCGAATGTGTGACGTGAAGGCTTGCCCGGCCATTTGATGCCCCTGGTAGCATCATTTAGATGTTGGTAATTACTGTTTCTCTTCCGTATTAAACTTCTACAAGTCTGTAAATCATCACATCACTCTGGATTATCGTCTGCTCCTTATTCATACACATAGAAACAGTTGGATGGTGACAAGTCTTGGCATGCTTCTATGCATAACAACATGGAAACAGCAATTCCTTTTGACAGAGCTTGGCAGGCGTTGATGCTCTGCTTGTAAAAAAAAAAAAGAAAAAACAGGAAGAATTTCATATTTCAATAGAAATTTCATAGAATGTAGTGTGACTTGATGAGCAGAGAAGGAACAATCTGTCACTGTGTCTCTGCTGTTTCGCCACCCCTCAGGTATACCTTTCCCTATAATCGTGGCGTGGGCCATCGGGAAGCTGTACTACGACAACGAGAAGTAAGTTGTTGACTCTAAGACTGCTTTTGACATTCGAGACTGAACTACTCCGGTAATAAAAGGAAAAGGGCAACGCCAAACCAAATTACATTAACAAAATGAATGTGTATTAATTATCTGTTGTAATTAAATTAGCATTGAAGAACTGGTTGTATTATTTATCAGCGCAGACACTATTTTCAATTTGATTGCGAGCACTTGTTCTCCTTTTCCACGTATTGCTATAGTAAGAATTGCCTCTGTTTCCCAGCAGTGAGTCACTGAATTATTAGCAAGTCTACTGATTTCTTTTATTATTATTGGCAAACCTGTTAAAAAAAAAAACATGGCAGATTCAGAGCCTTGTAGATCATATTTCTCTGAAGCCATTAGGTTGTGAGGGACGCGTTCCTTCATTACCATGAAGTTATACACTACTGTTGATTATGATTCACTCCCGCAGGGACCATCCTGCTGCCAGAAAAACTCACTGGAGCACCAAATGTATTAGAATCAACTTTAATGGCCATGTGTGTTGACATATTCTAGAGAGTTGGTTTGTTTGCCCATTAGTTTCTGAGAACAAGTCTACAGGGGAATGCAAATACAGACACAAAGCTAAAAAAAAAAAAAAGAAGAATTGTACAGCTGGATTATTAGGTTATTTTTGGCTTCACATATTGACATTGATCAATCTAGCAAAAAAGAAAAGAAAAACTGAACCAAATTTAAGAATACATACAAAACTCACTTAGCAACAGCCCTAAAACAAACTCATTATTCCCTGCATCAGCAGAGTTCTCATAGTGAAAAATCTATTAAATTACAACATTTAATGTACTTTGTCTTTCCGGCAAGTTGTGTTACATTGTAGAAAAAATTCATTGCAATAATAACATCAGTCAGTCTCATGTTCACATAAAACCACACAAATTTAAACTGATTTCACATTAACTGCAGGCATGGATTTTCTCCCTATTGAATGATCTCCACTAGGAATAAAATAGATAAAGAAATTTGTGATTTCATACTTACCAGCAACAGTTATAATTTAATCAATAATAATTGTATTGGAATGAAAGCCAAAGTGTTAAAGTGTTATTAAAAAACCCTAATGCATAGTTCTACTATTTAACAAACGCGAACAGGACAAACAGAAAAATACCAATATTATAAAACCAAGAGCAGACAACTCTACTTCTACAGATTAATGGTGAACTTTCTAAAACAATCTTTTTTTTTTAATAACAGAACACAGTGAACTAAATGGCATTTGACAGTAACTCCAACCTTAAGCTGAAAGTCTTTGAAACCCAAGGTGTTGAGCTCCTACACTCTGAAGATTATGGGGCACCATCTGCATGGACGGGAGACCTTTTCCAAGAGCTATTTATTGGATGTTTCCACCACTTCTCTCTGCCCTTCTTTCCAACATGATTCTAATAAATAAAGATCACAAGTGCAAAATAATTTTCACAAAAAAAAAAGAAATCTTACATTATGCATCTTTCTAGGCTATTGTTTTATTTTGGCAACAATCTTTGATTTGAGCAAAAACTATATAAGTCTGAATATAAGTTTTGAATTTGTCCTTGTTTTTGTTTATGATTAAATTGGACAATACCTACATACAATTTGCTTTTAGTTAATCACCAGTGAGAATAAACAGGTAAATAATACGAATAAATGCTACACACGGAGTAATAAAATGTCTCCTCTTCAGTCGTATCTAAACTGACATAATGTCATATTGGTTTTCCAGGTGCTGGTTTGGGAAACGACCTGGTGTGTACACTGACTACATCTACCAAGGTCCCATGATCCTTGTGCTGGTGGTAAGATCCTGTTCTGTCCTTCAGTAGTAGATTGAACCTGTCTGATATAATTAGTCTTCATTATGTCTCTGAACTGCCTGGCAGCCAAGAGTACCTGGAAACTGCAACACATTCTTCATGTTAAGGTTGATAAATGTCAGCGTGAATCACATTTTTCCTGCAAGCTTAACTTTTAAATCTCTGTTATACGACAACGTCTGGGATTCATTTTAGACTCTGGGATGGAAAAACAACAATGAAGTCAAAATGCATGTTCGCCTTTGCAGGACATATCTTTAACAGTGGGTGATTTCCAAACCCAGAAGGGAGGATTTTGATAGCTTTATGTCATGACCTCTTCAGGTATGAGCCATTGTGAAGGCAGATTATCATTTTAAATGCTAAGCTCACTCACTAGCTTTCAGTTTGGTTTTTAATTGTGACTGAAAGGAATGTTGACATCTCTTAAATTAGACATAAACCTTCATGGGGTTTTTTTTGTCTAGCTCCTTGCCAACTTGTAATGCTCAGCTCATCATATGAGAGATTTTACAAATCGACCTTGGATTTAGTTTGGCTCTATGTTCAAGTTTTAGTCACATCTAGTCTTTTCCTGCACTAATGACCTCCTGACTCGGCTACCAATATATATGCTGTCCTCAGCCCAGCTGCGCAATGCAGTGCATACACTTCAGTGTATGAAAAACCAGTTTACACATGTGGTTTGGATCATCTTCCTGTTACATCACCACACTGTGTCCAAGTTTCATATCTGTTGGGTGGATAATTTAAGGTGTATTCACTGTAGTTTTCCTTTATAATTATTCCATCGACAATGCAGCAGAACCACTACTACACAACATGATGTGTGGCAGAGAAGAACTCTTTAACGTTGCAAATTTATGCAAGTATAAAGATGTTCCACACAAAAAACATTGAAAAATATCTTAATACGCCACAGTTTTAACATTTAATTTCTCTTGGTCCATCATATTGAACAGAGTTGTGCCTACAGAAAAAAATAATGCAGCCACGTTTCCACATGTTGAAGCATTGCGTGTGACTAATAATAACTTTGCCAAGGATGTTTTTACATGATGCCTCAGCTGTAACCATGAGCAGATGAATGTGAAAAAATAAAAAGGGAAAGTTGGAAATAAGTCAAGCTGCCCTGCAACGAGATAAAAAACAGATCAATAGGTTGGACTGGATCATTTTTTCCAGCATGTTTTGATAATAATATCTTAATGGAATTCTACTTGGGTCAAAATTATTGGTTTACATACAATATGCAGCCCAGGTTTAAATAATCGCATGGTCTTAGCAGTGTGTGCATACTGACGGATCAACTATTCCATAGATTATAAGGCAGCCACTGCATATTTTTATCTGGGTGTTGGAATGTCTAAGAGGAGTCGGCTGGTGGACTGAAGTGCTCACATAATGGATTACATCAAACTACCAAAAAAAAATAGAAAACAGAGACAGCCGGTGGAAAGAAACCAGAACAGCAGTCATGGTAAAGAGAAAGTGTACTCTTCTTCAGTTGTACGTTTTTACGTGTTGCCCTCGTCTTTACCTAGCTTGATTTCTTTTTCTATTTTTTTTCTACATCTAACCTGGATGTAAAAAGCATCGATCATATTGTCATTAACATACAACTGTTAAATAGAACATACAAGAAGCTGTTAAAAAGAAAAAAAAAATCTCTCTTTTTTTTTTTTTTTTTCTTCAACAAACCTGGTTCTGTAAGAAAGAAGCAAGGCAACAGTGGCATCAGTGGTTTACAGGCCAAAAACACTAAAAACCAAAAATAACACAAAGATCAGATTCACATTTTGTCAAGAGCATCTTCATGACGTTCAAGACTTTTGGAAAAAAATATTCTATGGACTGACAAGACTGACATAACTATATTTATTTGTAGGTTTCCAGACAACAGAGGAATACACAAAAACACGCAAAAATACATATAATTTTTGGGTGTTTTGACTGTCATAACCACTAAACAACCTCCTGTACAGTTCAACATTATAGGTTTTTTGTGACTTATGAAATAACTAATAACTAATTAAGTATTGGCAAAGATAACTTTTAGGTGGCAGTGAGTTATTGACAGCAACTGCCAAAAGTAACTAAAAATGTTACTTTTAATGAAACTTAGTTTCTTTCCAAACCAAGTAATCAGTAATCTAAGTAAGTTACTTTATCAAGGAGTAATTCAAGGAGTAATCAGTAATTTGATTAAAGTCACTTTTCCAAAGTAACTATTACACTTGGGTTATGCATCAAGTAAACTAGCAAGTCCACACCTGCACAACTCAAAGAATTAAAAGGAAAGTTTTGCAATGGACTAGTCGGACTCTAGATTAACATTTTATTGAGATTCTATATGACTTCAAACATATTCTTTGCTTATGTTTAAATTTTTTTCACTTGACGAACCATAAGGTGTGTTTTCATAATTTTTTAGAGAAAAGGTTTCCTCTTTAAACAACTTTAAACAAGTCGTTCTTTTGTGCTTTTTCTCATTGTCTTTCCATGAACATTAACATTTAGCGTGCTACTTGTGATCTGGAGAGCCTTAAAATGGATGTTTCTGGGATATTTTGCCTTTTTTTTATCATTGCACCATTTGACCTTGGGTAAGTTTGTCTGGACATTCTTTCCTGGAAACGTTAGGAGCCTAAAAGTTTTCCACCTGAAAATAATCTTTGGTCCTGTCAAACGATTCTAAATTGTTTGATTGATTCCAGCAATAACTGCTTCTCTAAGATGGTTGTCAATGTTTCTCCTGTTTGCTATTACGCTCAGCATCGGACCAGAAGCACATGGCTTTTACTTTTTGGGTTTTTCTTATTAATAATGACTTCAAGGAATTTTTTGTAGACATGAGGTTAGATTGAAAAAGATTTAGAACCTTGTTAAGAACAAAACGTTATTAGAATGTTTTGATTTGTAGGAACTTATAATTAAATCAGCCTTGGCTTTAAAAAAAATACAGTAGTTCAAAATTATGTGAGCACTTCCTTTAGGGGTTTCAACATCTGTCCACGTGGCCTCCCACAGAGACTACTCTCTGTGCCAAAACTCATCTGACTGCGACTGTTTGGACATGTCCCTGCTGAGTTTCAGTCGATGTCCCTGCCAGCGATCCACTGGTGGAGTGACCTTCCCAGATCTTCTATCCTTAACTGAAAAAAAAAAAACTCATCTCTTTAAGAGGCACTTCTCTGAACTGTTTCTGTCTCTCCTCAGGCAAACATCTGCCTCATTCAATCCCTCTTTCTGCTGCTACGCTTGGAAAATCTCCAGTCTTGCTTACAATAGTGCTTTCTCGTGGGCTTTTTGTGTCTTTGCCAAGCACTTGATCCCTCCGGATCATCACTGGGGTCACAAGAATATTTGTGGTCGCTCCTGTGAAGGGGGTTGTGAACTCTGAACAGATTTTATTATCAGCACTAAAATGATGTCCTGCTACAATGAATTAATTCAGGATGTTATTAAAATTGTTAACATCAGCAGCGATGCACGAGGTTAGCAGAGTGTGTGGTTCTGGAAAGACCGGCATATATCTGTTCCAGCCAAGGTCGGGTCATCTGGCACTGGAAAGTATTCCTGTGGCTATTTTTGCCTCTGTGTTACATCATCCCCACCTCTTGCATGAGCTATTGATTTTGTCATTCATCACATAGTGGAAAAATAATCTCAAGTAGCACTTCATGTTCAAAGTAGCTACAGTTTTTTTTATCTTTCATTATTATGTACTGCTTGCATTATTTCAGCTCTTCCCACTGCCAGTAAATCCTCCAAAGTCTTAAAGAGCTCAGCACCTCGTTGTGATGCAGATGTTGTCAACGTGAGGTGACATGCTCCTCAACAACCTACCAATGTAGTTATTTCTGGGCAACACCATCCAGAGTGCCAGATTGTTCGATCATTCACTTTGCTGCAGGTATTCTGCAGAACTGACTAATTTAACTGTTAGAACCACAGCAGGCTGGTCTGGTAGAGCAGGACTGGACCTTGCAGGATTTTGGTGAGATCTTGAAAGTCACATTGGGCTCCTCTTTACTCCGAGTTATTGGACATCCCAAAACTATTAGACTAAAAGTTGTAAAGAGATCATGACGTATCTATAATAATCTATAGCATGACTTTTAAGCAACTGACTGCAGGTTAGCTACCAGAGGAAAGCGCAAGACTTGTTAATCAGCTGATATTAGATAATTATTTCATTCTATTTTACTATCTACTTTATAATAACAGCCAAAAATGTTATATATTTTGTTTGTATTAAAAGAACTGCTACTAAGTTTGCCACATTTCCATGTTAAGATTTTGCATGTGCCTACAATTACAAACAAAATAACAATAAATTATTTCATATAAGAATATTAGAACTGCAAAGATCAATATGTTGCTGCATTTATTTTTCTGAACTAAGACATATAAACTTCTTTTTCTCTTTTTAAATTTTGTGTTAACACTGTGAAGCTGTGAAACGGCAGTGTTTTTTACTCAAGGTTATACAGTTAGAATCTTGTATCAGCCCAAGCAGGCTTTTCACATGGATAAATAGTGTTTCATGTTCAGGGCTCTTGCGCATAGAAATCAATATGATTTGCGCTCCCCCATGGAGACGAGGACAAGAGTGCATACTTTCTTATTGCACATATAATCTTGGCTTTGCTGGTCACTAAGAAGCTCTGTGTTTTTCAGACTCCCTCGCTGATTATATTTGCATACATGTTTTTTTCTTTGTTGCACAAGATCTTATTTGCAGTAAAAGGATTTAAATTTTTCAAGGTTTGTATGTGAAGAATCTTTTTAAATGTTCCATAGTCTTAAGATATGCAGACTTTGAATTCTTAAAGCTACATGATCTTTGAAACTGAACAATAAAAAGATCCAATGGATCATTTTCCTAAAATGTAATGCAATGCGCAGAAAATGCACGTTTCTAAACGTAGCTGAGACAATTTAAGCAAAAATATATCAGATGCACTGAAGTAGAAATGTTGGCTCTATTGCTGTGTCATCTTGTGAATTCAGAAACTCAACGTGTCACTTTGTCTTGAAAATCTTTGTGAAGTTTTTTTTTATGACTTTTTAGATTTTCCAAATAGTTTTCAAACACTTTTTACTGTGTTAAGGAAATAAAAAACAAAATACCAACTAGAGCTCAACAATAAAGTGCTTCATTTCTACTTGGTATTCACTAAGCTTTATTTTAATTGCCCCACAGATCAATTTCATCTTCCTCTTCAACATAGTAAGAATCCTGATGACCAAACTGCGAGCCTCTACAACATCCGAGACGATCCAGTACAGGTAAATTTCCTGTAAACCTGCTGCTGAAACTGCAATAAACAGGCTTAAGAGACGAGAGTGCCTTGAATTATTCATGTTTTGTCCTCCATGGGTGATGCCCAGACCCTGAAGGGCCTTTTAGCGTGAAGTGAAACTCTGAGCCTGAGTCTCTCTGTCACGGCTGTCTGATCTACGTTCTCCTCGTCCGCAGGAAAGCTGTGAAAGCAACGCTGGTACTCCTTCCCCTCCTGGGAATCACCTACATGCTGTTTTTTGTCAACCCAGGGAAGGATGAAATTTCTCAAATGGTCTTCATATATTTCAACTCGTTTTTGGTGTCCTTCCAGGTAGGATTTATCCTGCATTCAACAAAAACACAAATGGAGTGTAAAGGCATCTCTGTGTGGGTGGATGTATCATTTGTCTGATTTATCTCAATGTAATTGTAATGAGTACAGGGGGAAAAAACACTGCTGAGATGATTAAATGTGCGACATAATCAGCTGTATAAGCGATTTAACCAGGATCAGGGCATTGATGACGATGTTTTGTTCTCACTTTATCCCCCCCGCCCCCCTCCTCTCTGCAGGGCTTCTTCGTGTCAGTGTTTTACTGCTTCCTAAACAGTGAGGTAAGCAGATTTATACTGGCTTATTGATTTAACATTTCAACATTTTAAATCTCTTCCCTGATGCAGAAGCTTAATGATATTCCCTCTCCTCTGGTGCCTCTGCTCAGATTTTAGTGGCTGTTTGCTGCATATTTTCGCAGCTTGAGGACAATGTATTTAGGGCATAATTAAGCCTTGTGATGTCCCGACATAAGTGACATCACTTTCTACACTGTATGACACCGTCAGCCCTAATTTGGTCCCAGGGGGAAATCAGGGGTGAAACCAACTCAGAATAGAGCTGGGATGTACATGCAGGAAGATACGCTGCTTTATATGGTAATGTTGTTTGAATATTTAGCAACAGTTTACTTTTTACTGCATGCAGGTCGATAAACAAATCAGTTCTGTGCATATTTTTAGAGTATTAAAGGACTTAGATTCAGGATTTACCTTAGGGTCTTACAAGCCAACCAGGTGTGTGCGATTATTTTTCCAAATGTCCTTATGAGTAATTATAATATTTGTTTTTGAGGGTTGGTTTATTGGTTGAAAAACTACTCATAGTCCTGTTTAAGACAAATAGTAAATCAGCCAAACAAATGGCAGCTTCTCAATGCATTTAAGCATCGGAACTAAAGTTAAACCAAGCATCAGAACTGAAAGAAATGGTGAAATCGAATGAATCCCGATTGTTGAAGCAAAACAGAATAGTCTTAAGTGCTTCAGAAACTTCTGATCTATTGGGGTTTTCACACAAAATTTGTCTCTCAGATTAGAAATGGCTGAAAAAGAGGGAATATCAAATAAGTTAAAGTTTTGTGGACCAAACACTTTGTTGATATAAAATAACAACCGGAAGTTTGATTTTAAATTAAAGAAAGAAGAAGCTAGTTTAAATATTCATTCAATAGTACCGAAGTATGACTAATAGAAACCTCTGGCATCAACTAAGAATTTTTTTTAATAATTGATTTTTCTCCTGAATATTCTGACAGAGAAATTGGCAGTTTTCCTGCAGACTGTTAGACTGTTTCTCTGTCATTAGGACAGATGCAGCACACGTACCATCATTTATTGAGCTTGAATGATGGTACGTGCTGAATGGGGGAAGGCGGTGAGGATCACATATATGAGCATAACTGATTCTGCAAAGACTTGGCTCAGAAATAGACTGGGAGCTGTGTATTTCTACAAATGGCAGTAGGACAACAGAGAGTAGCCAGTGGAGCTTGTTTTTATAGATTATCTGTCTCATACTCTAATGTCAGGATACAGTGACATTTGTAACAAATTTGTAAAAAAAAAAAAAGTACATTTCTATGAATGTAACCTAATGCGTCTTTAAAGATTTCAATGATATAAATACTTCAGCCTGTGCTTAGAAATTCATGCTGTTACCTTTTCCAGACAGTGACTTTAAAATCAATTGATAAAATGTTTGAAAAATTGTACAAACATTTCGGATATTAAGGTTCAACAGAAAAATGATGACGAATCAAATGACACTTTCTAAAGTTACAATCAATTCACTCACTGCTAACCTTAACTCCAGCTGAGCCACAAACCAGCCATGAAGGCAAACGTCAGTCAGAAAGATCCAGCTTGGTCTGGCCTCGGAGCTGAGCGACACAGATTAATCATTACAAGTTATTCCTCAAGAAGGAAATAATATCTTTTTCCCTTCAGTTACCGAACCTCTCTGCATGGTAGCTGGCTGGATGATGAAGGAATATCTCATCATGAACTGACATGTAGCTCCCAAACAAAGGGCTTAACCAGCATGTGTAGCTTGCAGAGTATATTGATTTAGTGTTTTGTTACAGGCTGAGGCTTGTAAGGAAAGCAGGGGGGGAGAAGTGGAAGAGATGAACAAAGGATGCCTGCAGTCACATTCAAGAGAAAACAAAAACATTTATTTTTTTTTTAAACATGCGCAGGGTTAAAATATCTTATTTCAGGCCCAAAGCCAATTGAAATTTTAGATTAGTGCACACAGGCGGAGCTGTGAAATATCCAACATTCTGATTGAATTAACCATGTTTCATTTATGATGTACTTTTTAGGCGTAGACTCTTTAGTACTTCACAAAAATACAAGGTGAGAAACTGGTAAAAAAAAAAAAAAAAACGTGAAGCATGACTTAAGACAATGGAACAAGGGAATCAAAAATAACAGTTTTGAAAAGGTTTGTCTTTAATTGGAACTTTAAAGCATTCAATAAAAATATGAAACAAGACTTAGTAGACTGAAAGATCCTCCCAGGAGTTCATGTCCAGGTTAATATTCAAGGAACACCTATGAAATTTTCCCACCAACCTTATCTCATTACTGAGCTGGTACTTCCTTATCACGAGCAACTATGTTTTGTGTTTTGTGTTTTCACCACTCCAAGAAGGTTCTATTTTAGTACCAACTCTTCGCTGGGCCTGAGGAAAGAGCCTCTTCTTTTTTTCTTTTATTTTTTTTTTACATAGAATCATATTGGTTTGGATAATTATTTTTCCTTAATAAATGAAACCATTATTTGAAGACCACTTTTTAGATTTTTGGTTATCTTTAATATAAAAGTTGTTTTATTATCTGAACCCGATAAGTGTGACAATAAAAAAAAGAGAAATCTGTACGCGGACAAATACTTTTTCTCACAGACAGATATTGTGTTGCTCAAAAAGAGCATACTAACTAAACCAACTCCTCTCCAATTACACATTCTGGAGGAATCCCATGACTGTGTCTGCATGAATCTGACTGCTAAGATGTGCAGTTTGGTTGTTTACTCCTGGGTTTGGTGTTGGTTACAGGTCCGCTCAGCAGTACGGAAGCGGTTCCACCGGTGGCAGGAGCAACACTCGATCCGGGCCAGGATGACCCAGGCTATGTCCATCCCAACTTCACCTTCACGTGTCAGCTTTCACAGCATCAAGCAGTCCACATCGATATGAAACAAGAAACCAGCTTTACCCTGCATACCGGGACAAAACCTCCAGCTGTCATTGTCATCATTTCCCTCCACCTCAGCGAAGTACACTAAAAAACCTCTCTGAGCTGGGACAAAGAGACACCGCATCAGTCTCCTAAACCTCAGGGGAGACATTAAACAGACTTTCTGGAGAAAATGGATGGTGACTTGGGGGAAAGGACATTGCAGACTTTGCATTAATAAAGGTTAGTAGATCAAAAGATCAGGGAGCTGATCTGTATGACCTGAAGTTTCAGTGAGAATGTACAGCACTTCATTTGGTTTAATATCGACTTGCTGTAAAAGAAAAAAGCGTCTGGTTTATTCCTGCCTGCACAATTTAATTTAGCAATCATCATCCCATAAATCTTGTGGCACTTATTGGGAGTCAGTCCCAGGGGACTTGGCGTCCTAAAGGCAGAGACAAAGTTGTTAAATATTCAGAAAAAAATATATATGTTTGTTTTTACAGTGATTCCTTGTTATTTTTAAGTTTTCTATGTTGTATTGTCATCCTTGGTTCTCAGTTCGGTGCAGTTGTGCTTCGTCCATCAACTTTCCAGGAAGGTTGAATACATTCCATTCTTCTACCTGAAGAGTTTTGTTCCATAGTGATCATTTAATGCTGTTTAGAGATCATTTTATTATAAAACAGCTTTTTTATTTTTACAACAAGCTATCAACAAGTTTAAAAAAAACTGTTATATGTTTGGGGGTTTTTTTGAGAGGAAGAGCTTATGAGAAAAAAATCAGAAAGCTACTGAAGGAACAGTTTCTCTGGATACTTCTGATGACATTTATCAAAAAGCAAAATTAAATCACAAAAGTGGTGGTGATTAGAAGGTTTCAGGGGAACTGTGTTTCAAAGGTTGATGAGGTTGTACTTTAATGGTAAGGTTGAATCCTCATGTGAAAAGACACAGAGCTAATAATGGAAGACAGTATCACATTAGTGCAGTCCTTTAACTTTGAGAGATGCTTTTTCTTGATTATTTGCCCCCCAAATTTTGCTAAGTAATACTAATCTCTTCCCTCTTTCTGATACAGACTACATTAGTTCAAGAAGTGCTTGCCCTGTTAGTATGGCCAAATTTCTAACTGGTGTATGTTCTTGTATATTGATTTGACCACAAATCAAAAAGTTGAAGGTTTTGATTTGGACTAATTTTCATTAGACGATACACGTGTTATCTTTTTATTGTTAATATAATCATTTAATTCAAGATCAAAGCAAAAATACTTATCTGACAAGGAGATTAAAGGTTGTCACAACTCAAACCATTAAAGCATCTTCAGAGTTGTCCTGGTAATTATGAAAAGGTCTTCAGTAGCAGTCAGTCTTGCAACATATCTGAAAAGGCCTCTGACTGAAGATAGCTGATGTATAACATTCCTGTTAGTCATGACATGCTAATAGCTCATTGCCAGACAGCAGAAATAATATTCCACAATAACATGTCCAGGGCGACACCATCAGTTGTTGGCAAGCTCTAATTAGCTGAGAAAAATCTATCTATCATATTCAGTTTTGATTGTCAGAATAAAAAAACATTTGTTTTATCTGGACGACTGACTCTCTTTCAGTTATCAGTAACAAGCTGACAAACTGTATGCACCCTTTTCCAAACATGCCTATCACATTTGGGTCTTGTCTACTTTAACAATACAGTGTTCAATCAATACTTCCTCCCATCCCGGTTTTTGGCTTTTGACACTTCCTATGTTTTACTGTTATAGCGTTTCAATGTTGGTTAAACAACCAAAACTCTCAATGTGCTTTCCAATTCCAAACAAACTTTTTGGTCCATACACTCCTTTTTCCAAGCAGCTGAACTTCCAGTTCAAGCCTGGAAGCAGCTAAAAAAATTTAGTTTTCGTCTCACATTGTCTATTATTTCATTGTATAGTTGTTATGGGCTCTGGGTGAATCCATTCCGTTTTGACTTCAAAGCCATCTGTAAACATTTTGTCAGGTCCTACTTCCATTTTTTGCCCTCAACAAAACAGTTTGTTATTGAAGTATGACAGTGCCCTTAAGTAGTTTTGTGTTTGAAATATGGAGATAATCCAAAAAATATTTATATTTGAGCTATAATATCAGGAGGTGTAGGATACTTTACATTATTCTACACCTGTGTTTATTGTGTTTGAGCTAGCTGGTGAGAACCTGGGGACTTTTTTATTTTTATTTGGAATTGGAATTTATTTTAGAACTGATTTTCTTTAAATGTATTTTTCATGATCTACTCTTGTTTTGCTGTTAGAAAATGTGTTTATGTGAGTAGTGCTGTAATTTTTCATATAAGAATCAAAATTCCATCAGGAATTAGAACCACAGTCAATGAAAATAGGGTGAACAATTCAAAGTATTCAGAAAATTGTATTTAACTTATCATTACCTATCTTCATAAGTCAAGAAATATAGAGAAATATACAGATGGTTAATTAAATGGGTACAAAATGATTTAAGGTGCCAAAATGGAAGTAGAGGACAAAATGGTAATGTGTTGGTATGAACTATGGACAAATTGACTCAGAGCCAAAACTATGACAAAAAACAAAATACCAATGACGAACTTCCTGATGGTTATTAATATTAGCATATCATAATCAAGTTTGTATGCATTGGAAAATAAGCTATTAAACTGTCAACCTGATAATGAAATTCTACTATCTCAGAAAGCTACTCCTGTTTGGACCCTAAAAGTCAAGTATGAAGAGAAACACGACAAATATTAGAAATGAGGAAGGGGGTGAAATTACCATCACGGTTTGTCAAAAAAGCTGACCAATAATGATTTGCTACACTGTTAGTTACTTGTGGCATTGTAACTTAAGATCTTTAAATGCCGTCTGAATTTTTTAAGAAAATTATCTCCAGCGGGTGACCTTAATAAAGAGAAAAGCCTCCGGATGCATTTTTAAATATAAATAGTTGATCAAATTGTCTGATTGATTTTACACTATATTCGCTTAAACTGATCAAAACATTTTCACAAAGACATATTCATACCCAAATACCCAGCAGACAGACAAACCCTTAGCAGTCAGCGAATAAGATGTTGTGCTAGTACAACTTGCCTGTGAATCTTTACAAATAGACAGAAAATAAAGCTGTATATAATGAATAAAAACACTCAAAGCTTTGTAAATAAGATGTGCATAGCTTGTGTCACTTTATCCAAGTGTCATTGTTTAATTTATTCATTTTTTTCAAGAAAAAACATTAAAAATGTTGAGGACTGCTTCTACACTCAGGGTCACATTTTAACTTTTTAACCAATTGAAATCCATCACTCAAACATCACAGATTACCATATCTGTGAAGTAATTGGCTGCAAGGGATCATGCTACTGGAGCTGACCAATCAGAGCAAGAAGGGATAGAAGGGATTGATTTCCATAGCCAACAGGGAGCAATTGTATTTGTGTTAGTAAGATGTTTTATTGAAACTGTTTTGTCCACCTGATGAATGTAGAAATGTAGTATTTAGTTAACAATAAATAAATAATGTAAATCAACTATAAATGTATATATACATGTATAGATATATAAATATAAGATATATTTGGATATAATTTTAAGATTAGCACATTGATATACAGTATAACGTGATTTTTTTTACAGAGAATCGTATATGCTTGGTTTCTTTTGACAAAACGTCTGGAGTATTTCTGGTATTTGGCTCTTACCTCTTGGTTGAAATACAGTCATTGTAAAAAAAAAAAAAGTGCACCCTTTTAGTAATTTTAAGTCTTACTCATAAAAAAAGAAGCAAAATCTAGTTTTTCCAAAGTTCAGAAATGGATGGAAACATTATTTCAAAAACAAAAAGAACACTTACTGCTTCCATAGGACTTAATTGGGAAAGTAGAAGCAACACCCATCATTTTACAAATATTGATGTATGTTGATTTTCTAAAAATACAAGAACTCATTCAAAATGTTAAGTCCAAGTTAAAATGTTAAGGATAGCAGAGCATGTAGAAAAGAGTGAACAAGTACACCTTGAAAAACTGCAGGAGAAGAACCAACCACATCTTTCTGAAACAGTATAGCAGCACAGACTAAGCTTGTAAAGTTGCATCTGAACAAACCACAAGATATCCGGAACGATGTGATTTGGACAGATGAGACCAAAGTAAAGATATTTGACCAATAGCAAATGTTTGAGGGAAACCAAATGCCACATATCATTACAAACCTCTCACGTCAACTTCCAAGCCCATTGGTGGTGGGGTGATGATTCAGGTTTTCTTTGCAGCCACACTCACTAAGTTAACCACGAATTTCTCTTTACTAAAATTTGAGAGTCAAATCAAATGGAGCAATCCAGTGATGATGAAGGTGGTACTTTCATTCACAACTATCTGAGACACTAATAAAGTCATACAGAAAACATCTATTTTGTTGCTGAAAGTGGTTCTGAACACTCTTGAAATGTATGGTGTATCTAGTTTTTCACCACAACTTCCCAATTTTGGCTTATTAGTTTATAAATGTCAGATGTAGAATCAAAAAGAGTGTTTTTGTACACTTGTACATAGATTTGGACTCTGACATTTCATTGTGTCCTAATACGTGTCCTAATACGTAAAAACTTAGTACTGATTTGGGGTGTGCTTTCTTTTTATCAGCACTGTAGGTTTTTCTCGCTGCTAAAATAATTTTGTTTCCGCTATCTACACTTTAGCTGTGTCCAGCTCTTGTTTGCTAAAGAAAGCAAAAACACTGTACCAAAACATTCAGGAAAAACCAAATAATACAAGCTGGAAGTTGCCAAATTCAACTAAAACATTGAGTTATGGTATTTGGGTAATAATTAAAAACATTGAGACTAACTTGATAAGTGATAGATGTTTTTTTTTTCTGGAACAAAACTCCTCAGCCCAACAAAGAGACTTAAAATTATGGCTTGTACATCAGCAAGACGAGGAAGGCAACCACGCTCACGTTCATACCAAGTGAATTTTTGTGACGTTTGGTCCAGTTGAAGCATGAGGCACGTAAAGTGTCACACACTGTGTTTACTGGATAACTGTAAATATATAAATAGCAGAGCTGGGTTGTTAAAATCCAGGGAGATCTGTCACGAATATAAACCAAAAAACACAAACCACACACTGTAAGTCATGGAGGCACATCAACAGCTCACCGTTCACATTCCGATGATACCAGTATGCCTAGCACCTGTGCATTCTTAAGAACTGCTGTTTTACTGTCAAAATGTAAAAAAAAAAAAAGAAAAATTCCTGTTTTTGTCATCTTGCCGTTTTTATTTAAATATCTTGCAGGAGACTTGTGAACTATGGCTTTGAAGTGTCCAATTATGTATAACTTTCTGATGCCATCACAATGTCTGTTTTTCCAAAAGATTATCATCTATAGTAGCTAAGCAGCCATTTTGGGGGCAGCTTTGGGGAAAAAAATAAATTCACTCAAGAGTTATTGCAATGGGGGAAACAATTGTTTGTTTGATCTGCTGGTTTTATAATTTGGCTCACTGCCAAACAAATGGAGTTCTTTGTTATGTTGGTTTTAATTTGGAAAGCGAGAATATCCATCCAGACATTGTGTAGAATGAAAACACATCTTACCTAATATGGCCAGGTGCCTTTGCTGCCAGCATTAGCTGTAAGACATTTTATATAGTTAGCCAACATGTTCAGATACATCTCTTGAAGTATTTTTCACCAAATCCTCTTCTTGGCTGCAGTTTGACAGCTCAAAGCTTTGAATCCCCTCAAAGGTTTTTTGCAGAACTAAAGTGTGAAGACTGGCTAACGGCCTCAAAAAGCTTCTTTCTTAGTCACTGCTTTGTTGCCATGATAGCATCTCTTCAGTAATTTGCCATGCTCAAAGGCCCACCCCTTACTGATTTGCATTGTTCTGGGTGATAGAAAAAAGTTACTCCTCCAAGATGTAGCACAATGTTAATTCTGACTGCACATTTAAATTGACTCAGTAATAGGCTTTTACCTAAAATCAATTCCAATTTTAATCATCTGGGGGTTTTTTTTATCATCTAAATTTCCTGTGACTTTAACTGACAAAAATATAAAATTATGGAGAAATATTTCTATAGTACAATACTGAAATTATATCTGATGGAGTTTTATCTCCCTAAAATATTTTAGTCCTGTTTTTATTAATTGGTGAAAATATCAGTCATGTTTGTTGTAGGGAAATAGGCAGCTGACTTTTTGTTGTAGTCTTAGCAAGAGTGACTTTGCAGCGCATTGGAAACATCCTGTATTCTTACCAAAAAAAGCACCCTGAAGCATAATTTTTGCTGCTTCAGTTAAAGTCTTATCCGACAACAGAACTTGCACATAAGCCCTTGTTGAGTCATTGAATGGTAATCTCTGGACCTGGACATGGGCCTTCCATAGCAGAAGGCTAGAAGGTTGCATTACAATCCTTATATTCTTGGTGGCTCAAGTCATCATCAAGCCCCTTCTGTGTTTCTCATCTATTAAGTTCTTCACATTCATCCTCTCACCTGACAAGTTCTTGCAATGAGTTCCAATGCCATTTTATGCCTCTCATATTTTCAGATGATTCCATTTTCTTTCTTCTTTTCTATTGCCACATTACAAAAAAGAGAATTCAAAATTTGAGTCTGGAAACTTGTTATAAAACAATCGTTTCTTCCATTGTGTGCATTATTAATACATATGGGAAATAGGCTAGTAAAAGACATTAAAAAGTGTATTTTCTTTAAAGTTCAGAAGTTTGAAATGACCAGGATTAAGTAACATGATTTGTGTTATTATTTATTGTTATTTATTTGAAATTGTGTTATTTTCATGCTTGGAATAAAATGTCAAGAGATAATAAACTGTGTTGGATTCAACTGAATGAGAAATGTCACTCAAATTTTTATTTATTTATTTCCCTTTCTGAGATACAAAGAAACACCAAACCGTCCTCAGGTTAACTCTCCCATTTTGTTCCCATTGTCTCCTGAGAAAAAAGCAAACAAGATGAACACTTTCAGTGTGGTTGTCTCCAGCAATGTGTGTGTCTGACTCTCTGAGGAGGAACATCGGCCTTTAAATAAGATCTTTCCACCCAACTGCACAGTCACTATTTTTTTCCCATAATCATGAACAAGAGATGCAGCAACAGGGTCAGGGGAAAAAAACAAAAGAGACGTGGAAGGATTGGAGAAAAAAAATGAATATGACAGTGTTCATGACTTTTCTGTGGGATTTCAGGCTTGTGGCATTGTTTAATGCTTAATTGGATGTGAACTTCCATGTGAACATTTAAGGAGAACAACAGGGTTAATCATTGCTGATTGCAGCTTCAGGGCAGGCTGTTACTCCCGAGATACACATTTGTGTTACCATCAGGGTTTTGCACTGTTGGGAGCTCATCTTTATATATTTTCAGCCAGCATCATTTGGTTCCTCATCTTTTTAGTGGTTTTGATGACTATATAAAGACTGTTTATGTAGAGCACAGCATGATTTTTTTGTTTCTGTGATGAAGATGCTTTGTACCATTCATTTGTACAAACTTGTTCTTTAGAAATCACAGCTGTAACCTCCATTTTGTCTTCCTCACAAAAGACTGAAGCAACAGTCTTTTGCTGCTTTTGACTGAAGCCTTGTTGAGAGGATGTTCATGCATCTTCTGCTGCATCCTTAGTCCGAACAAGAGACTAGGTGGAGTCGCTCTAGACTGGAGGCTTATCCCCCTGTCTAAATGGAAACAAACTCCTTGTTTATTCAGGTTTTTTTTTTTTCATACAAAGGAGTTTCAGTAACTGATAAGGAAGCTTGCCGGATTCCAACATTTAGAGATTTTCTTGTGCACCAAGAAAATCTCTAAATGTTTACACCCAGATTTAATCAAAAAGAAGCAGCTCTTGCAGAGGGTGGTGTTGGACATTTGTTTGTCCCTTTTTCGGTTTTAGCTGGAACTGTCAATGCAACTCAAATTTTGCAGTGTAAACTGATGATCTATGAGAGTAAACTAACACTAATTTAATTATAAAACAGTAGTACAGATTATGTGAGAATATGCAATAGTAAATATGCACCTAAATCTGTAAATAAATCATTAGTCCCTATGATGAGGTTCGAGACAGGAGCATAAAATGTTTACGGCCGCTTGAGATCAAGGATCAGAATGAATCTGTCTTTCACAAACATCTGAACTGTGATCTGGAAGCAAAGGGATGAAAAACTTAGTTCACAATCTAAGCTCTGAACCGACCGGATAGGGAGAACTATTACCAAGAAGAGAGGGGTGAAAATGTAGATGCATGAAACTTCTTCCTCATATGTACAGAGCAAAAACTTTATTATAACCAAACAAGGTATTTTTACATTTTTACCTCCTTGAATAGATCTATGATTTATACTTTTTTTTTTTTTCAAAGAAAACAGCCTTGATCTTTTAAAATGAGCTACAGTTCTCCAGGCTTTTCAGAGTTTTACTTTGGACAGCATGTAAATTGTTCCATTTCATACACCCACAGCTACATGACGGCTGCAGAATCTTTTCAGGCATGTTAAATGGGATTTATGTATTTTGTATATTATTGTGTGTGCGTGTGTCGGTGTGTGCGCGGGTGTGTGTGTGCGCGGGTGTGTGTGTATGGATTGATGTGTGCACGTTGGGTAAATATTTATTTTTTAGATTTGTTTTGCATACATTTAGCTAAAATAGATTAATTGATTGATATAAACCTATTTTACAAGGTATTTTTGAATATGTTCAAATGTGTGTGGGTCCGCATGTGTATGTCTGGAATGAATGACTGAATGACTGAATGAATGAATGAATGAATGAATGAATGAAGTGAGTGTAACTGTGTGTAGGTGGCTTCACAAGGGGAAAAATTCTCTGCAAATTGATGCAGCATCACTGCAGAAGCTGGAAGCACAGAATCTGTGGATGACAAGGCCTGTCTAAATGTTCTAAATGGTTCAGATAAAATGTTAAGCCATTTAACATTAAAATTCGTGGGATGCTAGGTTTCTTGTTTGAGCTCCTGAGTGTGAAAATGCAACATTAAGACAAGCTCTTGTTATCTTTACATAAAAAATGTGAAGAATTAAACCAAACGCTAAATCTGAATAAGATTTTATGGAGAGACTTGTTGTTCCCAGATGGTCTCTACATTCTGTGAGATATTCTGCAAAGATGAATGGATAACAATTCAGTCTCTTGATGTGTAAAGCCGGTAGAGACTAACCCCAAAAGACCTGCAGATGTAATTGTGTGTAAAGGTAATTCAGCGTGGCTTTCATCCAGAGGTGTTGATATATAGAATAGCATGACATGATTTTCTTTGATCCTCATTTGTAAAAGAATTTGAAAACCATTCATTGTCATAGCAGCTGTTTTCAAGACAGATGATTAGCACAGAAGCCCAAGCATCTAAACATTGTGTTCCACGGAGTAAGTTTAATGCTAAACAACTTAATGTTGTTTATGAACACTGGTCCATATGGGAGAATGGACCAGTGTATATATGGGAACATATTGTTTACTCCCCTCCTGTGTTCTGCTGACACATCAACTTGCAGAGAGTTATTCTCCCATAAAAAATGTT